CTTCTCTCTGCATAAAATGACAGGGACAGTCTATTCAGATCATAATAAGATTACATTTTCGGAGTCGTTATCAAGATAACAAAGAATAGCATTTGATAAAACTTGACATGACGTTGTGGCACTCAATATTTTTTAATGTCAAATTTCTTAAAAACTAGGCACTGAGCAAATATAACTTTGTAAATCTGGGATAGCGACTTATCGATCGCTTGTTTGGTCTGTTTGTTCAGGGTAAACGTGCCATGTTTGTCTTTCTGTAGGCCCATGACAGCTTTATAAAAAGTTGAATTTCGCTCCTTCATGCGTGACCGCGAGATCAGTAGAATAGCGGGTCTTGCTGGAACAAGTTGCAACACAAAGACACACACACACACACACACACACACACACACACACACACACACACACACACAAACACGCGCGCACACACACACACACACACACACACACACACACACAAACACGCACACACAAATGCATGTACAAACACATGCATACACACAAGCATACATACACACACGCACGCACACATACACACATAATAATAATAATGATCATTATAATAATAATAATAGTAATAATAATAATTAGAATAATAATAATAATAATTAGAATAATAATTAGAAGAAAAAGAATAAGAATAAGAATAAGAATAAGAATAATATATTATGGCACTTGCTCGACCTCGATTAAGGTTTACAGTACACAGGCTCTGGGCGCTTTACAACACTAGAGTGGGATATAAACGGTATAATAATATTATTATTGTGTTTTGACCAGAAAGAAACTCTCTCTCTCTCTCTCTCTCTCTCTCTCTCTCTCTCTCTCTCTCTCTCGCTCTCTCTCTCTCTCTCTCTCTCTCTATCTATCTATCTATCTCTCTCTCTCTTTCTGTAAATACTTATCTCATTAACTGAAGAACAGAAATGACTTCAGCTGACTTTGAAACAAATGAAAGGATCTGATATCACTTAAACTACTCAGGGCAAAGCATTCCAAACCCCGGGGTCATGCTGTACAAAAGAAACGCCGTTTTACGAATTGTTTCAAGTTTAATAGATGGTAAAAGAAATTTCTCTTTTTCAGCTGAAGACTTTTAACTGTGAAATGGAATGTACAGATTCAACAAATTTGATGAATGTGATGGGGCATTATAATTCAAGCATATGTGACGAGTGGCTAAAGTGGGCATGATATAGTTGTTTTCTTAATAGGAAGCCAGTGCAATGTCTGTAAAAGAGGTGTACCAGAGTCTCGCTTTCTTTTCCATAAAACTAAACGTGCTGCTTTTGTTTCCGATAGTTTGAAGTCTTTTAACTTTTTTCAAGTGAAATATTTTGATTGATAGCAATGTATTACAATAATCAAGTCTTGGTAAAACTAAGCTATTTACTCATAAATCAGTATATAATTCGGTAAAAAAATTCGAGGCCCAACTTATCTTAAAAACAAAATCTTTAACAGGTGAATCACTGTGACTCATACTTTGCACAGCAGTGTGTATTAATTTCTTTTAAGTTAATCATATTTTTCCAAAACAATTTAGGCTAGATTTAAAAAAAAAACAGTCTTCAGTAGTTTATATAAAATATTATAAGGTTTTCAAATCATGCCTTCAAGAAGCATAAAGTCGCGATCAGAAAAAAAATGACAGACTTGCTTTTAAAAGCTATATTGCCCGACCTGTAAATTTTTTAAAAATCTGAAGAAACCATTGACTTGGGCTTTTTATTAGCATATGTTGAGGAATTTTTTTGAATACAGTGTACAGGTGTTTGAAAAAAAAATCCATCAGTTAAGATAAAATGATATCAGTCATTGTGCACACGTTGGAGAATCTATGTTTAATAGCTATGGAGATATTTGACAATAAGTTACGCCACAAATACTTTACCACACTACAGTATTGACAAGAAGACGCATTTGAATTATTTTTGCTCATTTCTAAATACATGCAGCAGATGAAATGCTTTACCTCAGCCGACATTGACTATCAAAGAAGAATCAAACTGTCAATATTCTTAACTTCTCTTGAAAATTCAATTTCCACATCACCAATTTGGACAAAGCTAAAGTTACTGTGGGACATCACGTGCTTTTCATGTGGAGGAATGTTAGGTTACGGTGGTATGTCACGTGTTTTTCATATGGACAAAGATAAAGTTAAGGTGGGATGTCACGGGTTTTTCATGTAGACCTAGGTAAAGTTACGGTGGGATGTCACGTTTTTTTCATATGGACAAAAGTAAAGTTGCTGTGAGATATCACGGGTACGTTAAGGGCCCTGGTGCAGATGCCAGTGATGAACACGTCATCCAACCACACAGGCCGGAGCCTGAGGGCGGCCTGGTACAGAAGATGTACAGTGGTCATCGGGTAGCCAATAGCACCCCCGAGAACATAGGGCGGGAAAGTGGGGTCTGGGAAGTCCTCCAGAGACAGATAGTACCTGTGCTTGTTGTAACGGATAGGTTTCTGCCCGACGTGTTGTACTCCCACCACAAAGTTCTCCGTCTGCCGACGGATAGACCACATGGCCGACACCATTTTGGCGGCGTCCACTCTGGCGTCATCGTCGGTCCGAATGACGTACATGGCGGACGAACAATACGCCATCGTCCAGTTTAACATGGACAAGTGTTTCGTCAGGATGTTTTTGTAAGTGTCTTCAAAATCTAAAAGCGCCATGTCGCCGTAGGTCTTCGCTTCTTTCTCCAGCTGTCTTTGGATGGTGACGTTCTCTTTGTTCGGTCTCCCAACAAAGAAAAGCATCTTGGCCTTGTGAGCGGCGACTTTGACATACTTTGACACGTCGCGACTCCTCACCCACTCTCTTCGCTGGAAATTCCCAGGCCCTGATGGGATCACGAAGATAGTCTCCGTCTTAGACTTCGAGCACAGATCCCTGGGATGAGAGATGTACTTGAAGTAGAACTTGTTCACCAGAGGTTTCGCCAAAACCTCTGCCACAGAACGTTCCCCCTCCTCATCTGACAGTTTCGGCGATATTTCGTTTCTCGAGTTTTCCCTTGCACTTACTACAATGTTCCCGGCCGATGACTTGTCTCTAATTACAGAATCGTACGACCTTGACCTCTTTTTGACCTCTTGTAACACATAACGTTTGGGCTCCGTGTGGGAGGTAGGTAGTGGCCCTCCCTGTGACTCGCTCTCGCCCTGCGACGTTTTCAGACTCGTCTCAAGATCGGCGCGTAGTCTGTCTAGGAAGGATAGGACGGTCTTGGTGTCGGCGTGACTCAGAGAGTAGGCGAGAGCGGGCGGGGGGCGGGATCCGGTCAGCGAGCTCTGGAGATCTGACAGTCGTACGTCAAAGAGGACTTTGCCGGCAGCGAGAAGGACAGCCAGACATATCACGGGGGTCAGGAAAGTTTTGCTCTTTCTGCTGGTCAGTAGCATGGTGCCTTTGAAGAGAAATATAGAGGTCATGAAGAGGAATAATAACACCAGCAGCAACAACAACAATGATGAAAACACTACTACTACTACTACTACTACTACTACTACTACTACTACTACTACTACTACTACTACTACTACTACTACTACTACTACTACTACTACTATTGCTACAACTACTAATCATAATAATGTTAAAATTAATAATAATAACGATAATAATAATAATAATAATAATAATAATAATAATAATAATAATAATAATAATAATAATAATAAAGAGGAACATCATCATGATAACAATATAGTGGTAAAATAATATCAACAAGAAGGATGATCTGTAAGCGTTAGTGTATCCTTAGCGTACTAACGGAAACTGTTTGTTTTTTGTTTTTGTAAAGTGTTTTACGGCGCCCGCAACTGCATAAGGTCATGATGATATGAGCGCGCGGGACACACCTAATATTTTCAGTTGGTAGGAAATTTTGAATTTTGCCCGGGTGGCGGCCGAAGCCTACTGTTATCGATTTTAGACCACCAAGGGATCTTTAACGTGCGCAACTTGCACACGGGCCCTCCGAGATTTTTCGCCCTTGTCCGAGAAGGCTAGGTGTAGATCTTTCCTACCAGAAGATCAGGGGTGTGGCTGAAAGACAGCAGTAAGAAGAAGCGAAGGAGTAACAGTAGAAAGGCTGCAGAAAGAATCAGGAGCCCAGAGGAGGAGGCAAAGGAGGTCAGGGGGAGGGGGCAGAAAGAGGAGACGAAAGCAGACGACAGAACATTGCTAGAAAGCAGGAAATGATGTGAACGGAGACAAATTTAGGGAAGAAAATGTTTCGATCGCTACCCGGATTCGAACCCGGGACCTTTTGAATGAGAGGCCAACACCTTAACCTCTAGGCCACGAGAGCCCCCTAACGGAAACACGTACGTTATGTACGGTGGTGTATCCTGAACATAATGACAGAAACACGTATAAACTTAAACTTCTGCTTTCTTTGATCATGGCTGCACATTGTCAAGCTTTCGATAAACAAACATAATCGTTCACCTTAGTTGTACTAATTAAGTCAAAAGAGGGCAGTTTAGCTGGTTCTGACAAGTCACATCTAATGAGACATTAGCACAGGTGATGATTTCATTCGAAAAAGACATGTTGCTTAATGAACTGAACGTAACAGTACCCCATTGGGACGTAATCCCGGTTCATTATGGAGCCCACCATATGACTCAAAGTGGAAAAAAAGGACAATGTAAAAAGTTTTGCACGTACTCTCGACTGTAGACTATAGGGGATAGCGGAGAGCGAGGCTGGCAGACTAGTGTTTGGCACTTCATTCGGGCTCCCAATTGGTGAGCGCGCTGCTCAGAGAAGTTTTTACAGAGGGAAAAGAGCGGCTGCATAACATTGCACGGTCTAGGAAATAATTATTATGATTCAAGTCTATACTTTGCTTACAGAAAGTTAGAAGACAAATATAGTGCACGGAGTAATTTAAGAAAAGTGTGCTTATATTCCACGTGGGAAATATCAGCTAGTATTTTATGTGTGCAATATAAAGGATTATTTTATTGGAAGTATAATGCTAAAAACAACTTGAGGTATGGTATAAAACTATTTTCCTGTACATAATTTTAGGGGAATGCTTCAAATGGCGTGACAGTAGCTGGTTCTGTTACAGAAAGTACAAACAATAAGATCTACAATGATTTCATTGTACACTACCAGAAGATAATATGCAAACGTTTGGATGGCTGGGCATATTTTAGCTGATTTCCCAGGTTATAAACAGAGTAGGGCTATTCAAGTTACATTTCCGTTCGCCACTTATTCCAGGTACCTATAATTTATTATTTTTAGCTTGAGCTTTCTGTGACTCTTCTTGTGTTACCAGCTGAACATGTCTAATGTGTCCCGCGCGCTCATATGACCCCATGCAGTTGCGAGCGCCGTAAAAGATCTACCGAAAAAAAATATTTTGTGTCACCAAAAGGTCGTTTGTCTTTCAGCCACACCCCTGATCTTCTGGTAGGAAAGATCTACACCTAGCCTTCTCGGACAAGCGCGATAAATCTCGGAGGGCCCGTGTGCAAGTTGCGCACGTTAAAGATCACTTGGTCGTCTAAAATCGATTAGAGTAGGCTTCGGCCGCCACCAGGACACAATTCAAAATTTCCTACCAACTAAAAGTATTAGGTGTGTCCCGCTCGGTCATATCATCATGACCTTATGCAGTTGCGAGAGCCGTAAAACACTTACCAAAAAAAAACCCCGTCGTTTTTCTTCTGTGAATAAGGTAGCTAGAGGTAATGACTCAAGAAAGTAGGCGTGTGCGACAAAGTGAAGCTTCTGAGAGAAGGTCTGTTTCTCGCATCTACAGTCAGATTATGCACGTTATGTGTATCAGCCATACAGCAAAATGCCGATTTCTCAAAACATTTATGTACCTATGGTGTCTTTGTGTGAGTCCATAAAAGTATGTTTATTAAATTGAAACAAACACAGAGTTCAAGAACTGTAGTTTTATTCATATAGAAGGAATACACAAACGTTTCTGCTCCCTTCTTTCCCCGCGTCAGCGCTACGACGAAAACCTTCCTAACTTAGTTTTATTACCTTTAAGTAGGGGTCACAAAGTTTCATGTTCCTGGGAGTATGGTAACCAGAGACACAACGAACGGACAAACAACCAACAAACGTTCTAGAAAAGTCAGAAATAATGCTTTGTGACCATAGTCACTCACTGACATAGGAATTTCAACTATTGACCCGCAGTAAACGATACATTTCCAAAAAAGCAAGAACAGACATACGTAAAAATTCATACATAACAGCTACAATAAGGTTACTGAACACACAGTGCTACAAATGAAACACACACAGAGAGAGAGAGAGAGAGAGAGAGAGAGAGAGAGAGAGAGAGGGAGAGAGAGAGGGAGAGAGGGAGGGAGAGAGAGAGAGAGAGAGAGAGAGGGGGGGGAAGAGAATGTTTAACGGAGCGGGTTGTTCCAGCACGTGAGACATGTATTTACTAAAAACCTGTCTTGTCGTGTGTATGCGTGAGTGCACGTAACTTTTGTAACGTCTACTGCCATTGTTAACGACCAAGACAAATTGTGAGACAGCGTGGTGAAATCAGGCACTCGTCAAAATAATGAGAGTTAAGAAACTGACATTTTCCCGCTGGTTTGGCGATTTTCAATCGAAATTTTGTTTTTTAGCATAAAACCTTCTATGTCTATTTAAGAACCTATTTCAGTGTGAATTATATTGAAAAAAGGTTGATTAAAGGCACACAAATGTAAATTGTCAATTTCTAAGGACTCTGAGGCTTTGCAACTGTCCAAATTTTGGAGGCCATTTCATTACTAATTTTACCTATGAAACCAGGCGACCCCCACCTTTTCAATCGCAAATATCTGAACATGTACTCAAGATAAATGGGTAATTCTTTCATCGAATGCAAGGTAACTGATCAAGCTCTATGGCAACACCAATAATTCCACATTTCCAAAATTTGACGAGCGCCTGATTTCACTACGATGCCTGACAATTTTCTCTGAGAGATAAATAAAGATTGTCATTGTTATTGTCATTGTTAACAGACAGCCAAAACAACAGTACAGAGAACTGAGGGTCCATCCAAACATTTACTAATCTGTGCTTCATTAGAAGGGGACGTCAATCAGAATTAGACTCCTTCTCGACAATTAAAACAAACGAACAAACAAACAACTAACACACAAACAAGCAAACAAACGAACGAACGAAAAAACAAACGAACGAACAAACAGATATGAGATCGCGGGACACATTAAACATTTTCAGCTGGTAGGACATTTAGAAATTTGCCCGGGTGGCGGCTGAACCCTACTTTTATTATTGATTTTGGAAAACCAAGGGATCTTTAACGTGCACAGCTTGCACATGTTACCTCCAATATTTTTTGCCCTTATCCGAGAAGGCTAGGTTTTAGATCTCATCTACCATAAGATCATGGGTGTGACTGAAAGACAGCAGTAAGAAGGAGTCAAGGAATAGCAGTAGAAAGGCTGCTGAAAGAGCTAGGAGACCAGAGGGGG